TCATTTTTCTGGGCTGCTGACTTCAGATCAAGGAGCTCTGGTGGTGCATTGGTTAAAGCATTCAGTTTTCAACCAAATGTTGGTGGTTTGAACGTACTAGCCACCCTGGGAGAAACATGAGACAATCTGCTTTCATCAAAATTGACAACCTTGAAAACCTTATGGGGCAGTGTAGTTTGTTCTATATGGTCTCTACGAGTCGGAATTGACACTGTGGACGTGGTAGTGGTGGGGACTTCAGGTTAGAGGCTGTATCCATCAGAGTTCTTAGTTGGAAGTAATACAAACCAACTCTGGCTAATTTATTCAAAGGATGGGTGACTCACAGCCTCTCTAAGAAGCTTGGGAAAGAAGGCTTAAAGACCATGTTGTTGTTTGCTGTGGAGTCGGCCCCGACTCATAGCGACCCCTCCTGGGTTTCCGAGGCAGTATCACTACGGAAGTAGGATTGCCCAACCTTCCTTCTGAGGAGTGGCTGGTGGGATTGAACCACCAGCCTTCTGGTTAGCAGTCAAATGCCTTAGGCACTACACTGCCAGAGCTCCTGTTTCCTATTGAGTTTTCTTTTTAATAAAGTTGGTTTGTTTTGGGCCAGTGATTCTCAATTCTGGCTGTTCAGTTGAATCACATGGAAAGCTTTAAAGAATTACCAGTTCCAAGGCCAAACCCTAAGCCAAATAATCAGAATCTTTAAGGATGGGACCTGGGCCTCGGTAATTTTAATATTTTATATTCTTTTTGAACATTTTGTTATGGAAACTCTTGCTATGTAAAATTTTATGTATTGCAGTTTATATATCTTAGATATCTTTTAGCTGTAGGTTTCCTTTCCTTTATATTTCCCCTTAAATCATTAGTCTTGGCCACTAATAATATCCTTGCTTTCCTAGGATTCTTTTTGTTGTTTGCTTTTTTTGAAATGTACTTTTTAAACAGTTTATATTTAGAGCAGCTTTATATTTACAGATAAATTACTCAGAAAATACAGAGAGTTCTCATAAATCACCATTCCTCCCCACCCTATATGTAGTTTCCCCTTTTGTTACTGTCTTACATTGTGGTATATTATTATATATGGTGAACCAGTACTGCTACATTCATTAACTAAAGTCTGTGGCTTACATTAGGGATTATTCTTTGTGTTATATGTACAGTTCTATGAGTTTTTGCAAAGGCATAAAGTCATCTATCTACTATTACAGTATCACACAGAATGCCTTAAAAATGCCCATTCATCCCTACCTCCTTTCTCCCTGAACCTCTGGAAACTATTAATTTTTTTTTCCCCCCAGAATCTCATATAATTGGAATCATACAGTATATAGCTTTTAAAGTCTGGCTCCTGCTACTTACCATTTAAGATTCTCCAAGTTTTTGGCAACTATGGGATTCATTTTTTAAAACACTTTTTTCTTTAAAACAGTCCATTCTATCTT